ATATATATATATATCTTTCTAATTGAATTCCGATAGCCATGCTCCGAACAACCTTTTTTTATTTTTTATTAATTACTCCTATTAGAATTTGATACATTGGTATGGAATTTTTCAATGCTTCTCACTCAATAAATATGCTTTTCCATTTCTAATTTAATACTATTAAGTGTGATGAATATTCATTTCACTAACAAGTGTTGACTTCCTCATTGCTTTGTCCTCCTCTCGGAAATATTTCACTCTTAAATTTTATTAATCATAGAGGTATATCTAAATTTGTTAACTTCCCTTATCTCCTTAGCACATCTAATGCTGAAGATTTTAATTCTAGAATGCTATCCCATAAATTACTTGATTGGGATGAAAATGTGCAAGAGGCAAACATAAATGTATTTTTATCGTTTGCAGTGAAAGTAGGAAAAAAATTAAATGATGTAAAAGTTAAGCTGATTTATATATATAGGTTATATCTTATTTTATATAATTAACTTTTTCGTGTCCGAACCACCAGAACCACGTTTGATCAATATTTCAAATATGTCGTGTATTAAAAGTATCTGGCTATTTCGAAATCTTTTTAGCCCATTCAGGTAAGTAGGCCGTATAGAACTCTATAAAAAATAAACCTTAGTCACATAGTATTTGATTTTTTTAATTTGATTCTTGAAATTGTTAAACACCTTATGGTGCCTCATTACTAAACCAAATCAATATTCTTATTTTTTTCTGCTATTTCTTAATCTATTTCTTTTAAACTAGCTATCTTTTTATCAATTTTCTTATTTACAAGTTGCGCGACTGGCGAAAACTGGCAGGAAATCATGCTAGCCTGTGATGCAGATAAGGAATGCGAGTTGAGTGGGCCTAGTTGCGGCAGTTCTTTTACCTATCTCTATTTTGTCACCTTCATCTTCTTCTCTTCTTTCTTGATGCTGAACTTATTTGTTGCCGTGATCATGGACAATTTTGACTACTTGACACGTGATTCATCTATCTTGGGGCCACATCATTTAGATGAATACGTTAGAGTTTGGGCCGAGTACGACCCTGCCGCAAAGTAAGTGACCTTGTTCCGGGTGATGGGAGTCCCAACTTCATTTTACTTAATATGACAAATAGCAAAATTTTGTACTTTGTTGCCAATGGCCTATATTGTTTTATCATCCTGTATTTTTCTATTCTTTAGCAGAGCGTCTAATTGCTCATTTTAGTGTAGTATCTGTGAGCATTGGTTGGTTTAGTGTGGTATAGACCTATGCACTGAAAATAGCAATAATTTATAATACTATAACTATTCTATCAAAATTTCATGAATTTAAATTCAATAATAAACGTTATTAAATGAATTGCATAGTTTAATAAGAATTTATAAATATGCTAAGTGCATTTATTAACGAAATTTGTCAACATTTATAT